CATGAACATATTTATACTGAAAAACATGAAGATTTACACAAGGGACTGAACTTTGGCCGCGGCGGACGCACCGGGCGCCGCCGACGGCGTTGTGCCGTTCTACGACCGAACATCAACTTTTCTCGGCAATTTAAACCTTACTGAACATGATTAAGAATCTACTGAATAAATCACATGAAAAATCTCGAGAATAACGAACTTAGCATACTGAACAAGCAAGTACGGCCCGTGGTGCGCTACGTGCGCAATCACGTCACCTTGGCCGCAACACCGCAAACATGACTACTCATCCGAACATATAAGTTAAACTAAACATGATTTGGCATATAAAGGCTAAATATGCGAGATTTGTTCGGAGAATTTACATTAGAGCATAACATGATCGGCATGGCTACAACACATAACACGCATGCATGTTTAACTGGATATTGAACGTACTAAACATGCTCATCTCGGTCAACCATCGTCGGGAGTTACCTTTGATTAAGCCCCAAGTGACTACACTTTTCGAACTCCCGTACTCGATCGTGACCCTCCGCATGTGTGCGACGCCGTGCGGTGGCTTGTGGTGCGGCGACGGACCTCTACAACACTCGAAAATGCTCGCGTACACCTGACCGATGAGTGATGTGCTAACTGCCATGAAGGACTTCGGCTACGCGTGCGACGATTACTGCTTGCGATAGCCTACGGTACGCGAACTACTTGTGGTACGGCGCGACGGCTCGGACGTGCGACAGCTCGGCGATAGGTTACGGTACTTGCGATATGCTACGCTTGAAGGGATTCTTTAATTCTCACAACTTACTCTCTCTCGGCACTTAGAATATATGCATATATAGGCTGATTTTTTTTGTGCATATAAAAGATGGAAAATTTTCCCACCTTATGCATCCTTATATACGGCCACCGAGAGGGAGGGAAATGATGGAGTGGACTATGTGGTCACTTGAAGCTTAAGACACTTGGAATAATTTGAGGTTGTAACACCATGACTAAGCCTCTCACTTAGCCACCTAATGACACGTTAAAAGACCCACTAATGAAAGAAGGAATTGGATAAAAAACATCATATTCTCCCACTTAATGGTACGGTTTTAAGGAAGGAAAAATTAAAAAAATTCCCAACACTTAATCATGAAGAGAATTTGAACCAATATACCTTATGATTACGGCTTTACTTATAATCTTGTGATTAATTATGCTTAATCACATTTAAATGCTTAATTAACTAATTAAGCATAATACTTAATTACCAAAATTATTTCGAACGTAAACAGTACGTCGAAAATAATTTCTGGTAATTTCGACTGAACTGACTGAAAAGAATTAACTCCGAAAATTAATATCGGGACTGAAAATATAATTTATACTGAAATTAACGGGATATTACACATCAAAGTGGAGCATCCGGTACCTTATGTCCACACACAAAATGGTCTAGCTGAATCACTCATTAAGCGCATCAAATTAATTGCTAGACCATTGTTACAAAATTCCAACTTACCAATTTCATGTTGGGGACATGCAATTTTACATGTTGCTGCCCTAATTCAAATCCGACCTACTGCATATCATGATTACTCCCCTATGCAACTAGTGCGTGGTAAAGAACCTAACATTTTCCATCTGCGAGTATTTGGTTGTGCAGTCTATGTTCCCATCTCACCACCACAGCGTACCTCTATGGGCCCTCATAGAGAGCTAGGTATATATATTGGCTATGAATCTCCGTCTATTCACAAATACCTAGAGCCCATGACTGGGGATCAATTTACATCTAGGTACGCTGACTGCATATTCGATGAAGAGAATTTTCCGGCATTAGGGGGAGAGAAAAGCCCAAATTTAAATCAATGCCGAGAAATTTCTTGGAATGTAGAAAATCTACAATATTTAGATCCACGCACTAATCAAACTGAACTTGAAGTTCAAAATATAATTAATTTGCAATATTTAGCAAATAATCTGCCAGATGCATTTGCTGATCATAAAGGAGTGACCAAATCTCATGTACCTTCAATAAATGCTCCATAACGAGTGGAAGTCCCCATAAAATCTAATAATCCTGCAGATGCTCCACGCCAGAAGCGTGGTAGACCCGTTGGTACAAAAGACAATAATCCGCGGAAAACGAAATCTAATAAGAATATTGAATCACTCCAGAAATCTCTAGAAGAGAATCGTCCAGAAGGCGAAAATCCTAGTTTGAATGCACGTGCAACAAATAATAAAAATACTAGGATTGCGGAACATCTAAATCAAAATATATTGGGAAATGATGAAGATCTGGTTGATGTGAATATTGAAGTAGCTACGAATTTTGTTGATACAGGAGAAACTTATAATAGAAGTAACATAGTCGTCGACGACACATTTGCCTCTATAGTTGCTTTTACCATCTTCAATAATCTGGATCCAGAACCAAAATCAATTTTAGAGTGCCGGAAGCGCTCCGATTGGGTAAGATGGAAAGAAGCAATTGAGGCTGAACTAGACTCGCTAAATAAACGAAAAGTTTTTGGCTCTATTGCGCGTACACCTCAAAATATTATCCCAGTAGGATATAAATGGGTGTTCGTGCGAAAGAGAAATGAAAATAATGATGTGGTGAGATACAAAGCGAGATTGGTTGCTCAAGGGTTTTCGCAGAGACCCAGAATTGATTTTGATCAAACATATTCTCCTGTAATGAATGGAATAACGTTCCGCTATTTGATATCTCTGGCAGTAACTATGAATTTTGATATGCAGTTAATGGATGTCGTGACCGCATATTTATATGGTCATTAGACACAAATATATATATGAAAATCCTTCAGAAATAAGGGAAAATGAAACGCGCAACATGTATAGCATTAAATTACAAAAGTCATTATATGGCTTAAAGCAGTCGGGTAGAATGTGGTACAACCGGCTGAGTGATTTTTTGTTGAAAAATAATTATGTGAATAATGATGTGTGCCCCTGTGTGTTTATAAAGAGGTCAATGAATGGTTTTTGCATCATTTCAGTTTATGTCGATGACATAAATATAATTGGCACACGAGAGGAGCTTGATAAAGCTAGCTCATGCCTAAAGACGGAGTTTGAAATGAAAGATTTGGGTAAAACCAAATATTGTCTCGGCCTGCAGATCGAGCATCTCACTGAAGGAATATTTGTACCAGTCAACTTACTTGAAGAAGGTTCTAGAAAAATTCTACATGGATAAATCTCATCCACTTAGCACACCAATAGTTGTCCGGTCCCTTGAAGCGGATAAGGACCCATTTAGACCTAAAGAAGATACCGAAGAAAATTTAGGACCAGAAGTTCCCTACTTGAGCGCCATTGGCGCGTTACTTTATCTTGCAAATTGCACCAGGCCTGATATTGCATTTGCGGTAAACTTGCTAGCAAGGTTTAGTGCTTCTCCTACGAGGAGACACTGGAATGGTATTAAACACAATTTTAGGTATCTTCAAGGTTCACAAGATCTTGGTTTACTTTATAAGAAAAATCAAGATATGACATTGATGGGCTATTCGGATGCTGGTTATATGTCTAATCCCCATAATGCTAGATCACAAACTGGTTATGTTTTTCTTTGTGGTGGTACTGCAATCTCTTGGAAGTCGGTCAAGCAGTCCATGGTTACTACATCTTCAAACCATTCAAAAATAATTGCTTTATACGAGACTTCACGCGAATGTGTATGGTTAAGATCTTTAATCCAACATATTCGTGGATCATGTGGAATTACAAATGATATAACCCCCACTGTCCTTTATGAGGACAATGCAGCTTGTGTTTTACAAATGAGTAGTGGGTATGTCAAAGGAAGCATGACAAAACACATTGCTCCAAAATTCTTCTACCCACACGAGCTCCAGAAGAGCGGTGAGATTATTGTACAAAAGGTAAGGTCTAGCGAGAACTTGGCAGACCTATTCACCAAATCTCTTCCTACATCTACTTTTGAAAAATACATTTATGGTATTGGTATGCGTAAATTGGGAAGACTATTGTCTTCAGGGGGAGGGAAAAACTCAAAATAATCTCGAAGATTAGGTCCTGAAGACCAAATGCTGTACTCTTTTTTTCTTTAACTAAGTTTTTCCCAATGGGTTTATTAGTTAAAGGTTTTTAACGAGGCAACTAGTAAAACACATGAAATTTTATAAATCATGTACTCTTTTTCCCTTGACTAATTTTTCCCTTGTCGGGTTTTTATTAGCAAGGTTTTTAATGAGGCATGTAGTAATGTCCAAGGGGGAGTGTTATAAATATATTAATATGGACATTACTAATATATAATTGGGCCTGAAGTCCATTAGTTAGTAAAATTAGGTTTTAGGGCTATGTCTCTTGTAAACCCTATAAAAGGGAGATCTACCGATGAATAAGATTACACACTTTTCTGCTTCTCTTTTCTCGTTCTTTTACTGCACCTCTTTTATGCTTGGATTGATAGATGTTTGGTGAATATTGAGGACTCCAATTTACAACAATTTCTACATTCTTTGTAAATTCGCTATTTTAACTTAAAATCTTTGCAAATTCTTTATTTGACATGAAAGAAAAAGACTAAAATTAGACGGAGAACGAGTTTAATATCTTCACAATGTGTTATACAACGAATTAAGGTCTCGTTTAAGGTAGAATTGGTCGAAAAACAACTATAACGACTGTGCAGTCGTTATTTCAATGATATAACGAATGTAAAATCGTTATTTTTTGTTTGAAAAATGGAAATAATAAATGCACTATATTTTTAAATTCGCTATTTAACTTGAAAAATTATTGGAAATTAGACCTTGAACGAGTTTAATATCTTCATAATGTATTATACGACGAAAACACGATCGTTTAAGGTGGATTTGGACGAAAAACACTCATAACTAATGTACAGTCGTTATTTCATTGTTATAACGAATAAACATTTGTTATAGTTGTTTTCCGAAATGATAGAACCATTGTCCAGGTCGTCGCGGGCGCGATACTTGTCGCGGGCGCGGCACACATATGACAGAACCTAAGCCAAGTTAATCGCTGGCGCGACAAAGAGGCTAACAGACATGTTGCCAGGGCGTCGCGGGCGTGATGGTTGTTGCGCTCGCGACACTGGCGATGATAGATCTGTTGCCAGCCCGTCGCGACCGGGATGAACGTCACGCCCGCGACATGTAACTTTTTTTTTATGAAAACGAACGTTCATCCATTATTTCATACAAAATAAGGATTATACATTCGTTATATTGAAATATGTATATATCACGGTCGTAACTTGTGTCGTGGACGCGACACTAGGACCTGTCTAGAATGGACAGAGAAAGTTGTCCCAGTATCGCAGGCGCGACGGACGTCGCGGCCGCGACAAGCAATTTTTTTTTTCAAAATAACGAATTGTTCATCGGTTCCTTGACTTATTTTCGGGAGCTCGACATCAAACCCTTTTGTTATTTATTACATTAAAACTTCTCGTTACAGTAATATTTTTAACGAAGTTGATTAAAAAACATAACTACTACATTTGGAAGTACGTATAACACATGAAAAACTATTACATTGAATAACACATGAAAAAAATAATACAAAAATGTATTTTCCAAAAGATCCATACAACTCGTTACATAATAAATGTTTAAAACAAACTATGGATCAAAATGAGCACCAAATATCTCAGCAGCTAGTTTTTCACGTCAAACACTAATCCGAGATTGATCTACGTCTTCAACATTCTTCCCAGCATACAAAAATTCTATAAACTTGGTTGTAAACATCCCACAATCAACCCTGCACCATAAATGTACAAATTCTATTAATTTACCAAGTTTCATAATATAGTGAAAAACCTAATATGATCAAAATATATATTATACGTACCCATTGCTTTGGGTAAGAGCTGTCAACCGTTTCCAAGCAAACTTTTTGGCACTGTATTGAGCATTCAGCTTCGTCAGTAGCATCGACACCATAACGCGAATGGGCTCAAGTTGCTTCTCCAGTTGTGCCTTCCGCAGGACAGTTGTTTCGCTATCATAGACGTAAATGTATCTCTCCGATAGATTAATCTCTAGTGCGAGCCAGTGGCCCTCGCCCTCCTTGCAGAAAGGAACATACAGTTTCGCACAGTCAGTCCACGGCTTTCCACTATTGAGTATCACCCCTGAGGCATATCTAGTCAAGGCCTTCGGAATTTTTTGAGTCTTCGGCATCTGCTGGAAGAAATTTCGCACGTACGTGACAAAAACGTGTCCAAGACAGCACAATCTTGTCTAAACAAGAGAGGGAACTGTTTACCACGCTCTCGAATGTGAAAAAGCGCTTCATCTACATGCTAAGAGTATAATGTTTATTAGATTAGTGAATATCATGCTTTTCAAAGGTCAAATATTGAATAAATTTTTTAAAAAAGTTTACCTGACTAGAAAGTCATCCATCGTTGAGAAGTTGATTAAAAAAGACTTTCTCTGCTATACCACCAGAGGACAACCGAACACTACATAAAAAATAAATACATTAAACAAAGACATACAACATTATATACTACAATAAGTAGCCGACAATTAACTTAACACAATTACATACCTTTCAGTGGAGCTCGACAACCACATTTGGAGATCTTCAAGTTTAGCTGGATCCACTGGCCTATAAGGGCCGTACTCCGTCACAGTTGGAAATTTTTTTCTTTTTTCAATATTCCTAAACGGAGTACATAGAACGGCAGCCTTTCTTTTCTTCCGGTGCCCTCTCCCCTTAGAGACTCAATTGGATCGTCTACAACGATTTTCTCTATATCAATTGGTGTCGGCTCTATCTCCACTGGTGTCGGCAGTTGTCTCTCTTTGTAAACAACAATGGCTGATAACGAGCCGATCACAAAACCTACAATAAAAAAAAAAAAAAAAACAGTCAATACTCATATATTTACATGAATGCACCATTAAATTACGTAGTAGTTACAATTATATTTTACATACATACCTGCATCATCATTAAGTCCAGCCATTTCTTGCTGGGGCATCGGAGATGGTGATTGCACCATGTCTGCGAAAGAGAAAAAAAAAATAAGTGATTCAATAACATGTAGCAATTGTTTTAAAATATTACAAATTATACTTTACAATTCTATTATTTTAATAATCGAATAACAACATTAATATGATGCATTTATTTAAAAAAAACCTTCAACACCATCTACACTTCGAGCGGTCTCCGTATCCCGCATATTAATCTCCAGATCAACCTCTTCATCAACATTTGTCCCGTCATAGGTAGCACGGGTAGATGGACCATCTTTTGCTTGAAAAACTAAGTTTTCTATTCGGTCAAAAAAATTGTTCATCTTAGTCTCCATATTCATCTCCATTCGGTCCATCTTCATCTCCATTCGCTCAGAAAATATTCTCATCTCGTCCTTCACAACTTCCGTCACAACTTCCCTGACTATACTTCGAATATTTTCAGCATCAAAAACTTGCGGTTGTGGTGGATATGATTGAGATGCATCATTTTTTCTTCTTCCTTTTCCTCCTCTTCCTCATCCTCCTCATCCTCATCCTCATCCTTATTTTCTTCTTCTTCTTCTTCTTCTTCTTCTTCTTCTTCTTCTTCTTCTTCTTCTTCTTCTTCTTCTTCTTCTTCTTATTCTTCTTCTTCTTCTTCTTCTTCTTCTTCTTCTTCATCACATGAGGGTTGTAACGTTCGTCGAACTTCAACCTGATTGTAGTATAATTAGTTTTTTCAAAACTATAACAATATATAAGATGATTTATCTATAACCAAAATTACTTCGACGCGTTGAAGAACATACTAATTTGCTCGCTTCGCCACTGTTTACTCATTTTCCAAGACATTATTCTCGGAAGTCTGCCACTACCATAAGTTTGAGCAAATTTTCTTTCAAGCTCAGGCAGTGCCTCAAATGCCCAAACCTACTTAGCAAATAACAAAACAAAATTAAGAATACAACTAACATAAATAAATATAAAAGAGCATAAATATAAATAAGAACAAATTAAGAAAAATACCATGATAGCAAGGGAAAATCCATGCAGAGAATACTTTATCGCATTTGTATTCTTTTTAATACCGAGAGTCTTCCGTTTGAACAACTTTACTGTGTACTCGTACGACAAGTTCCCCCAAGGATAGCTATTAATTGTTCCAAATCTTCAACGAGATGAAACCATCTTTCATCCACAAGAGTCCGGCACTCGTTAGACAACACCGCATACTCGAGGACAATGAGAAGCCCTATTTTGTACTTCAAATCTGCATGTTCCTTCTGTACCAAACCATCAAATTGCTCGAGCAAGTCTTTCTTCATTATCTTTCATTTCTTCTCTTTGAATAAATCTAAAACTGAACTACTTCTTTTGGGTACCTCGTAAGACACATCATCAACAATCTTTAAACCGCATACAAGAGAGAATTCTTGTAACCCGAATCTGGCTTCCTTTTCTCCAAATTTGAACCACACGGCATCTTTTTCATTGTCGGGTGATTTCAAGGTCCTCTGAACAAGGTGCTGGATTATTTGAGACGACAATTTCAACTTCAGAATGTGCACTAGTTGCCGGAAGCAAGATTCCACAAATAAATCTTGATGTTCATCACCTAGATTCTTAAATACATGCTCGACAACCTTGAGGTCGCACCTATTGGTCACGACTCCGGAGCATGTAGGAGGTATATCGAAAGCATTCTCCCTTTCGGTTCCTAAAAGCATAGAAGAAAGACAACATGTCATAAAACCGTAGAAAATTCAATCACAATATTAAGAAGTAAAACATCAATCATAAATTACAACAATCACATGCACATTATCAAGAAATTAAGAAGTACAACACACGTTATTTTTTGAAATTAACAAGTACATTCATATAAGTAGTTGGTATTAATTTAATACATAAAAATGTACATTTGTTATTTCATACACCATAACAAATGAATCTTCATTATAGTTATATTTTCATCTCGGTTAATTAAATACACTTATACATTCACAATATAATACTACAACCATTTCATAAAACACATAGAGTTCACCTTTAAAAATATTTCAACTTTTGGAAACTAAAAAACAACATAACATGTCTTCAAGATATCTTAACAATTCAAAGAATTCATCACAATGTAAATTCATTATATATTATATTACTAATATATAATTCATCACAATGTAAATTCTAAGTCGATATTAATCTTTAAAAGGGTATTAATCTCAACAAATCTCGTTAAATGTTACTATAAAATGAGAATATAGTCATTTCCAAAATTTCTATAACAAATGTACATTCGTTATATATTACATTACAAACATATAAGTCTCATTATTTTCAATTCATCTCAATCCTACAACCATTTCATCAAACACATAGAGTGCATCAATTTACCATCTTATGAGCATTTCATCAAACACAGATGGCACCAACTCACCAACCAAACCCTACAAACATTTCAACCATTAACCTCACTTTCACCATACATAACACATATTAAACATTCAAAAAAATGTAATTAATAACACAAATGGCTCAACAACATTATAACCTTAACACAAAAAAATATAACAACTGAAAAAAAAACATTGTACCCTAAACAAGAATTCCTACCAGAATTGACAGCAAGATATAGTTCCATAGTGAGCGGCGCGAGAAGGAAGGTCAAGAGAGCAGGTTTGCTGCGAGAGATCGAGAGAGAGAACCAGAGAGAGCGACGAGAGAGAGAGTGAATAGGAGAGCGGTCGAGAGAGAGAGAGAATAAACAGCGGGAAAAAAATTGAGGGAGAAGGAAGAAGAAAATGAGTTTGGTCTTAAGGGTATAATAGTAATTTGATATTTAAAATCATTACTGAATAAATTTTAAAAAACTGTTTCACTTAGAGGGTCATTTACAGAAATAAGTTTGTAAGGGAGGTTATATGGACGAATTATGTACACACCACGGTTATGTTTGGTTCAAAGGAGGGGAGGAGAGGGGAGGGAATTTAGTGGAAGGGAGGGGAGGGGAGGGGAAGGGAGGGAAAATAATTTATCTTGTTTGGTTGGATTTTGTAGAAGGGGAGGTGAAAGAAAATGATTAACCTTGTTTGGTTAGAAGATGGAAGGGGA